ATCTTAATGAACTTTAAAGAACTTTAATAAAAATTTACAATTACATTGGGAAGTGGCTAAGTAGGCAGCCGAATTAGCAAGAGTAGATGGTGGAATCTGCCGATTGCCAGCTTCTATTGAAAACCCTGCATCCATATTGTGCATGTATCATTTACTTACAGTAAGGACTTCAAGTCATTTAAAAGAATTGCTCTGTAAGGAGGGGTGGGGGTGGGGGGGTAGGGATATTTTCCGGAACTACACACTAATAGTCTCGTACTTACAATGATAACATGTTCAGGGAATTGTTGTCTGACCGACTTGACAAACTCCACAAAGTGCTCAGAATAACCATTGGCAACATCAAGGCAGATGGCTGGAACTGTTGGGCAGGCCTCCATTATTTGCTTGAGTTTATCAATGTCTTTATCCATCATTCCAGAACTGGCAATGACATACTATAACACAATGATCTAAGTCAGGGCAAASCTAATTCACACATCATATTGGAATAAAGATGCTAAGGGGCTGTTTATTTTTTTACTGGAGAAGGGAGGAGGTGGGATTTGTTGTGGGAGGTGGTCATGACAAATAAGACTCAAGAGAGGGGGGAGGGGGGCACAAAAAAGCATTTGAGTTGCACAGTTCTTTTACGATCAGTATGAAAAACACTTCTTTATTTAACAATCAAGAGGGGGGATGAGGATTTTCTTTTCCGTGATAAAAAATGAATAGTTCCTAAAGTTCTGTAGAAGGAACACCAGAGAACTTAGAGAAAAACTCTCAAATCAAGGGAAAGATGGACCCAACAAACTCTACTCACGTGTGATGCTGGGTCCAGAAAATCGAACAAGAGACCCCAGAGGTGCGAGGCGATGCAACCCTAGGTTACCTGATACGGTAACCTTAATTTCCATACTTACTGGTAATACTTCAGGGTTATTTTTACCAAACTCCTTCCATGCCTCAATAGGGTAATGCTTGTGTATAGCAGTCAACATTTTGTGCTACAATCAAATGACAATAAAATAGTGCAATTTGTTAAGAAGAATGGTGATCTGTCTGTCTGTCTGGTTTTGTTTTGTCTGTCTCTCTTGGTTTCTATCTATCTACAGCTTACCCACCAATATTAGACAAATTAAAAATTTACAAAATTTCAACAAAGAACTAAAAACATTCCTTTTTAAACTTGCCTATAAATAAGAGACATATTCATATTATAATATAATATAACAACTCTCAGCCTCTCTTAAATTAGGGGCAGCTTGATGGAGCAGAGAGAAACAGGCTTTTAAATATTCCCCCTATCTATATTTATGCCATTTTTATTTCAATCCTCCCTAATTTTTTCAGCCATTTTTCTCTCTACAAAATGAAATTTGATAATACTGATTTTCTACCTTTTAATGCTGGCTTTTAAACTTTAGGCTTGAGTGAAAAAAAATTTCATTTTTCCCATTTTTCTTTTTTTTTTTACGAGAAACAAAAGGTGTGCCTTTTAGGATATTTATCCCGCCTTCTTGGATGTCAAGAAAAATCTGTTGGGGTGTAATCACAGATCTTTCAATCTCTAGTTCTATTTCCATAATATACCTACCTGGGACACAGCCTCGGCAAGTTCAAATGTCCCAATAGTATCCATATTGGCAGCAATTATAGGAATTATATCATCCGGGAACTTTTTCTTGGCATACCTGAATGTAAAATGCCTGGATAGATCCACCTATGAGAAAAACAAGAAAGAACTGATTGGCGGCTTATGAGACACTATCAAAGACAACCAAGGGGGAGGGGGTGGGGGGTTGTCACTGAATTTTTAAAATGATTTTGATTTTTCAAATGTATTGAAAGCAAAAAAAGGCGACTAATTAAAAAGGAGTTTCATGTTTTAAAGCTCTATCAATATTACTTCTTACATGTAAGGTTATTCTTGAGCATTTAAAATAGCCGACAGCTGATGAAATTTTCGCATAACTTGAAAAGATTTTCTGCACGAGACTAAATCTTATTTATTCCCAGCAGTAAGGAAAGAAAATAATTAGCTTTTACATAAGTCGTAGCCAATTGCTTTATCCTAAAGATTATCATTCTCCATTGATTTTTTCTCGGTAATGAGGGACATAATTTCTAACGATAGAACATGTTAATTTTACTTGTCCTTCAAATAGTTTATCGTACTCACATCAGCTCTGCTTCGGATTGTACTACGTTTCGGCTTGATTAAAACATCCTTGAAGTCAAGCTTGATACTGTGGTCTACGTGAGGCATTCTAAACGGCGAAAATTTAAAAAAGGACGGGAAAAACTCACTCCAAACTCGAAAATCGTTGCTAAAAAGTAAATGATTTGCGTAAAAATGGCGCTTTTTCCMTCGAATTCCAATCACGTGGAATAAGTGATAAGACAAACAATTTGATTGGCTAATATTCATAGAGCGTACTTTCTGATTGGTTAATGTCAGTGCGTTGTCATTGCGGCAAAATTTTAATTCGCTCGGCACAAGCTTTGATTTTTGGAGCTTCTGAGAAAAAAATACGCTTATTTTTTTACTTATGAACAAATATTGTCTTCAAAGAAACTTTTCCGACTAAAATATATGTTTTAAAATTAAAATATTTTGGTTTTTTTTGCCCAACCTACGTTACTCCCTTCACCACAGGGAGCCCAGACATAATTATACATAATAAGCGGAAAAAAAGACAATTAAATGACTAGAAAAAAGACAATAAACAGTTGAGATTCATGGCTTTTACAATTGAAAATAAAAAAAGTTAAATGAAATATAATTTTTTTCTTTTTGTATTTTTTTAAAGTCACTTTTGAGTGGGACTCCTTGTGGACGCATGCGTGTCGTTTTGGCGCGCTTTTTTGATAGCCCGAAGCAAAGCACCTCGGGAAAAATGCATCATGGCCGATGGTCTGTATGAGGTAAGTTGAGGAAATTTTCACTACAAATCACTCCAATCTGACCTCAAACTCTCTTCAAATTCGATTAAATCCACCTACCTGGACCTAAAGGACGATTCTAGATCTTAATCTCAGGTGTTCATTTAATTTCAAATCTTCTAAAATGGAAATTTTAACAGGCATTCAATATAGATTTGCATGTATTTTCAAATGTTTTTGTTTTTCAATCATGCTCTCTTAACTTTCACAAAGAACTCTCATTTTACTTGGTATTATTTCGATCGAGTGTCATGTCTTTCCAAAGGATTTTATAGGCTTTTAAGTGTATGTCCTAGTGATCGGGGTAGAGGATTCGAGATGGCTGTAATTTGAATTTATTTCACCGGAACTGGACACGTGCTTACTTTCGCTTTGTTAATGTACAGGATCGTTAAAATCCTTGGAGGTTTCATCCTGATTTGTCATATGGTTGATTAGTTACAGCTATCTTGTTGATCTTCTTCGCATTAATAGAGTTATGGGTCATATTTGAAAATTTATTCCAAATCTTTTCCGAGTTACTTTTTACTGGGCATTCATAATTGTCTTATAGACTTCAATTAGATTTGATTTTTTTACCACAAATTGTTAATTTCTCTCGCGCTGATTGGCTAATTTTCATCATCTATAAGAAGACAGACAAATAAGCTGACGTCAACAAGTGCGCGCTCCTTCTGTTGGTTGTTTTGATCACTAAAAATGCTGAAGTAACGTGTAGTTAGTGAGTTTTTTGTATAATGTTAGTTTCAAGATATTGGTAAAAGCCTGTGCAATGTGTTTTCTCTCAGATACATTAGGCTTCTTTGGTTGTCGCTGATTGGTTCAGGTTTGACTTAAGTTTGATTGCTTTGTTTCACTCTATGCTGTGATTGGTTGGTTAACTTTGCTGAAGTGGTCCCAATTAGTGTGTCCCCACAGTAATGGAATAAGATTAAGAACTACTATTCCATCATTTGAAATGCTAGTTGTGATGTCACCTGCACATCAATAGCGCAGCTAACAGATGACATCATAAAGCAAAGACAAAAGCAAAACTCAGACAAGCAAATTTATGTTTTACTTTCACCAAATAATTTTCATATAAGATCTTCGTTTAATTGAGTCATTATTCTAATTTTAAGATAAAATAATAAAATCAATTCGTATAATACCAGGGTTCTTGCTACTCCTTAAACTCCTTGAACACTCTTTGAATTTAATTCATGTTTTCAAGTGCACTTGAAAAACTCTTGTATTTTACAATTTTAGCAAAACTATTTGAATACCCCTTGAAAATTCATTTTTGGGTCCTTGTATATTCCTTGAATTTTAAGTGGTTACCTCAGCACCAACCCTGAATACTCTACATGGTTAAACAGAATGCAATGTTTGTCTGAGTTTTTAAGCTATTTTCAGAATCTGCGCACTGTGCTATAAACTTGTGGAGGTGGCAGGCTCATACTTTGTTTGAAATTCCAGGTTCAAGAAATCATAGGAAGAAGAGTTACAGAATCTGGAAAACAAGAGTTCTTAGTTCACTGGAAAAGATACCACGCACGCGAAAGTACCTGGGAACCTTTAGAGAATATTAATTTACATACTGCTACGGAGTTCCTGTATAAAGCATACCCTATTCCAGGTACAGGCGAAACAGTGCACTTTTTCTTTTGTTATTAGAGAGAAAGTATAAGGGCAGTGCTCAAAATAGTGGCCTGCCAATGGCCAAATGACAGGACAAATTTCAGGTTTGGCAGGCAAAAATAATGATGTGCTGCCAAATGAATAATAAAATGGCATGCAAAATTTACTACCTACAGAAGGTACTACCTACTGAAAGAGAGGTAATACAACATAACATTTCGATATGCTGAATTCCAATCTTTGAGTGAGCCGTGCCCTGACTTACTGTAGATCAGCCCAGAGGTTGTTTCAGGGTTTAATCTGTGAGTTAGCTGTGCCCTGACTTACTGTACATCAGCCCAGAGGTTGTTTCAGGGTTTAATCTGTGAGTTAGCCATGCCCTGACTTAGATCAGCCCAGAGGTTGTTTCAGGGTTCAATCTGTGAGTTAGCCATGCCCTGACTTAGATCAGCCCA